TTACAAACGAAGGGGATCCTTGAGGTTTGCTGCGATAGTACAAATATACTGACATATATATATGTTCAGGAACAACATGTTCCAGCTATATGACGGCGGTCTGTAAATGATCAAGTCTGGGCCAGACAATCCAGTGACTAACATCATGCCCATCGATCCAATTGGGATACGATGACATGCATTAACCAAATCAGCGAGCCTAACCACCGGATCCCGTGAGTCGCCTCTTACAACAAGCACAGTTGCCTTTTACAGCAAGAATGAGTGGGTAACTAACGGTAACCATGCTAACGCAACCAGTGCATAATCTCAAGAGAGGATGCATATACTGAAGCTCTAACCCACAGCTATAATCACCCTCTACCATAACCATAATTTCTGCTTTTTCCAAAGTTGTCAGTTTTTCTGCAACATAATTCAATTGTGTTGCGAACTTGCCAAGCCATAATCTGATTATGTTTCAGTACAGTAATTACCAGCACACATGCATGACATATATTGGTGCCAGTGACAATAAGAGTGGACACCACACACAAAGCTGGCAGCTTAATTACACTTGTTAAGGCAATTAAGAAGAACTACTCCATCAATACAGCCAAACCTCACAGGCTGGCCTGATATAAATCTCCTATCTTCTAACACTTACCACTTATCAATCATATCTTTTGACATTTTATCAAAATATACTACTCATCATTTGCTGAGGACCACAACTTTGACTATAGTCATACAATCTGATAGTAATATTTAATGCGCATGTACTTAACATGCGATTATCTCCCTGGATTGGATTTCTAAAATCCTGATCATTGTCTTTGTGTGGTGTGCAAGACTCCAGCCTGTAGGGGTGTCACTATAAATCGAAATATCGATACCGTATATTGCTATTGGTAAGCACTTAAAGTCAATAAATCGATTGTTAAATCAGTTTCCGATCAAAAGTATCAATTTCATTTAGGAATATCGATAGTTTCAATTGTATTTACCATATCAATAAAATACATGCAATGTTGTTCCAATTTGTTTTTCATTTGATCATGAGCGGTAGTAATTTACGCATGGTAATGTGGAAGATTCTTTTTCTTAAATTATTAGGGTAAAGAAAAAACAAATCAGTCATATCTCAAACTTCACTTTTTATTTGTTGTTATGGTTATCACATTCAAAGGAAATTTCAGTTCCAAGGTTTAATTCAACTCTAAAAGCCATCTAAAATGATACACTGGAAACTATCGATATTTATCGCAATAGTTTCTTGCAATATCAATAGTTATCGCAATAGTGATTTCCAGACCAATAGTCACCCCTACCAGCCAGGTCCCCAAGCACCATGAGAGTTGAAGACGATAATTTAGCAATTAAGAATACTTTGCAGGATAATCAAGTTATCAAAAGTGTGTTGAGGACAGAATTACTACAAATTATTGGTTGTTGTTTAACGCCGCACTCAGCAATATTCCAGCTTTATGACGGCAGTCAGTAAATAATCAAGTCTTGGCCAGACAATCTAATGACTGATATCATGAACATAGATCCAGGCAATTGGGATACAATGACATGCATCAACCAAGTCAGCGAGCCTGACCATCCGATCCCGTTAGTCGCCTCATACGACAAGCATAGTCGCCTGTTACGGTAAGCATAGGTAGCTGAAGACCTATTCTAACCCGAATCTTACTTCCACAGAAGATGTTGCAGCATGAAACAGTGCTTGTGAGAATTCCGACCCAAGTGGTTTGATTAATACTTACTACTAATTTGGTTCTTAACAAACATTGAGTAGTAAGGGTAGTATGGATAAACGAGAATAACTATGATGTCGGCTATCTGGAATGTTAATGTAAACAGCGTGTAGCATGTGCTGTTTACATGGTTTAGACAGGAAACCAGTCCATCTAAATGCCTCAAGATAGTAGATAAAATTTATACATTAATATAGTCATTCTTTTGTGACTGTATCCGAAAGTATTGATACGCAAGGGTTGTATAGTGATATGAGCATTGCTGATGGTCATAGAGCAATATACCATATACCAGTCATATTATGCACCCTATACAGCTCTGATAACATTTTCCGATAATCATTACAAATGTTATTCCAAGCATTACTGGTAGTCACTTTCAACTATGGAGGCAATTTCTCACAATAACCAAGCCAGAATTTCTGTTCAAAATCAGCTCCCTAAAGGGCATGTGTAAAATATAAACCCTCTTGACTTTATCTCCCTCATGGACTGAGGTAATCACTTCTGTACTGCCTTGGCAACAATCCTCTTACAGTGGTAGTGACAGTGACAGGGTCACTCCACAGCCCACACAACCACAGAGCTCATACCGTACTGGACATAATAATAGTGACAGTGAGTCCACAGCCCACACTGCCACAGAGCTCATACCGTACTGGACATAATAATAGTGACAGTAAGTCCACAGCCCACACTGCCATAGAGCTCATACAGTACTGGACATAATAATAGTGACAGTGAGTCCACAGCCCATACAACCACAGAGCTCATACCGTACTGAACATAATGATAGTGACAGTAAGTCCACAGCCCACACTGCCATAGAGCTCATACCGTACTGGACATAATAATAGTGACAGTAAGTCCACAGCCCACACTGCCATAGAGCTCATACAGTACTGGACATAATAATAGTGACAGTGAGTCCACAGCCCATACAACCACAGAGCTAATACCGTACTGAACATAATAATAGTGACAGTGAGTCCACAGCCAACACTGCCATAGAGCTCATACCGTACTGGACATAATAACAGTGACAGTAAGTCCACAGCCCACACTGCCATAGAGCTCATACCGTACTGGACATAATAATAGTGACAGTAAGTCCACAGCCCACACTGCCATAGAGCTCATACCGTACTGGACATAATAACAGTGACAGTAAGTCCTCAGCCCACACTGCCATAGAGCTCATACCGTACTGGACATAATAACAGTGACAGTAAGTCCTCAGCCCACACTGCCATAGAGCTAATACCGTACTGAACATAATAACAGTGACAGTGAGTCCTCAGCCCACACTGCCATAGAGCTAAAACCGTACTGGACATAATAATAGTGACAGTGAGTCCACAGCCAACACTGCCACAGAGCTCATACCGTACTGAACATAATAATAGTGACAGTGAGTCCACAGCCCATACAACCACAGAGCTAATACCGTACTGAACATAATAACAGTGACAGTGAGTCCTCAGCCCACACTGCCATAGAGCTAAAACCGTACTGGACATAATAATAGTGACAGTGAGTCCACAGCCAACACTGCCACAGAGCTAATACCGTACTGGACATAATAATAGTGACAGTGAGTCCACAGCCCATACAACCACAGAGCTAATACCGTACTGAACATAATAACAGTGACAGTGAGTCCAAAGCCCACACTGCCATAGAGCTAAAACCGTACTGGACATAATAATAGTGACAGTGAGTCCTCAGCCAACACTGCCACAGAGCTCATACCGTACTGAACATAATAATAGTGACAGTGAGTCCACAGCCCATACAACCACAGAGCTAATACCGTACTGAACATAATAACAGTGACAGTGAGTCCTCAGCCCACACTGCCATAGAGCTAAAACCGTACTGGACATAATAATAGTGACAGTGAGTCCACAGCCAACACTGCCACAGAGCTAATACCGTACTGGACATAATAATAGTGACAGTGAGTCCACAGCCCATACAACCACAGAGCTAATACCGTACTGAACATAATAACAGTGACAGTGAGTCCTCAGCCCACACTGCCACAGAGCTAAAACCGTACTGGACATAATGATAGTGACAGTAAGTCCACAGCCCACACTGCCACAGAGCTAATATCGTACTGGACATAATAATAGTGACAGTGAGTCCACAGCCCACACTGCCACAGAGCTCATACCGTACTGGACATAATAATAGTGACAGTGAGTCCTCAGCCCACACTGCCATAGAGCTCATACCGTACTGGACATAATAATAGTGACAGTGAGTCCTCAGCCCACACTGCCATAGAGCTCATACCGTACTGGACATAATAATAGTGACAGTGAGTCCACAGCCCATACAACCACAGAGCTAATACCGTACTGAACATAATAACAGTGACAGTGAGTCCTCAGCCCACACTGCCATAGAGCTCATACCGTACTGGACATAATAATAGTGACAGTGAGTCCACACCCCACACTGCCACAGAGCTAAAACCGTACTGGACATAATAATAGTGACAGTAAGTCCACAGCCAACACTGCCATAGAGCTCATACCGTACTGGACATAATAACAGTGACAGTAAGTCCACAGCCCACACTGCCACAGAGCTCATACCGTACTGGACATAATGATAGTGACAATGAGTCCACAGCCAACACTGGAACAGAGCTAAAACCGTACTGGACATAATAATAGTGACAGTGAGTCCTCAGCCAACACTGCCACAGAGCTAATACCGTACTGGACATAATAACAGTGACAGTAAGTCCACAGCCCACACTGCCACAGAGCTCATACCGTACTGGACATAATGATAGTGACAGTGAGTCCTCAGCCCACACTGCCACAGAGCTAATACCGTACTGGACATAATAACAGTGACAGTAAATCCACAGCCCACACTGCCACAGAGCTCATACCGTACTGGACATAATAATAGTGACAGTGAGTCCTCAGCCCACACTGCCATAGAGCTCATACCGTACTGGACATAATAATAGTGACAGTGAGTCCTCAGCCCATACAACCACAGAGCTAAAACCGTACTGGACATAATAATAGTGACAGAGTTATGCCAAAGCCAACACAACCACAGAGCTAATACTTTATTGTACATATTTAGTGACAGAGTCACTCTACAATGGAGCTAATACCTATTGGACATATCGACAGTGACAGTCCAGCTTACACACCCAGTGACTCAGTAGAATCGTAGCACAACAGGAGTGTACACTAAGCAAGATGGTTACCAGACAGCGCCACCTACCTGAGTTCAGACTGTCGAGTTTGACAGGAAGACCTGCCTGGCCCACTGCAATCAACTTCAGGGCAATGTAGAACTGACTGCGACCAAAATGTCCGAGACGCTTGGCTCCACACAGCTCCGTTATCTGAAACAAGCAGAGAGTGCTGTTAGAAAAACTTACATGTATCATGAAACTAGTCCAACTTTTGTAACAGCTCTCAGTGATGCAACATCAACAGTGGTCTAAAGTAAAGAAGAGGGGGGGGGGGAGACTGAAGGGCAGCCTCAACCCCAATGTCTTCATTCAAATCTGTGTTCAAAATTAAAGGGGTCTCTGCTTTAGTATTTGAATCTAGGGACCCTATAAATATTTTACTTTTTATCCATACTTTTGACCAATTTATAGACACACTGTGAATATACAGCTGATCTCACGCAATACGAAAAAGTCCTGCACCATGACTGTGGAATGTATTTATTTCATGAAAACAAAACAATCTAGATATGTATACAAAAGCAAGTCTAGCCAGCTCTAGCTAGCTCTATGAAATCAGCATCAGGAAAATAATTTGTTTAATTTTAATGTCGAGTAGGGTATTGTGTAATATAAGATTTCATAGACTAAATGTTAGTCTAAATACAAAATACCCATGTATTTATTCATGTTTTACGCTTTAAGAGTACAACTAAAAACATTTAGCAATGCCTGAAAACAACTCTGATAACTCCAATACCTTAACACAACTTATGATGGTTATCATGTCTATAGCACTTTGTGGAACAGAGCCAAACCAACCCATTCATCACTGAAACCTATTCCACAAAACAATCATTGTTCTATGTTCATCCTTCGTCTATACTAAGTATGGTGCTAAGATCACTCTGTGGCTCCGCCCTCAAAAGTTAACCTGATATCGCTCCAACAAAACCTCAGTTTATGAATGCATTTTAACCTGTTCATTTAACCTAACTTGACCTTTCTTACAGTTAGGACAATCAAACTTACCAAATTTGGCTGAGAATTATTTTTATTGTTAAATTTTCAATCACAAACGTCAACCACAAAACACCATGACATATATGTAAGTTCTTGTGGTCTCTAATCAGTTGAGCAAACAAGTGTGATAAATTACCAGATTGACATATTTAGTGACCCAGTTGTATTCTGCTACTGTCATGTGTCCCCTTGCCTCATCATTCAACCCCCCCTCTCTGCCTCTCATGCTATGTATCAGATCTGACTTGTCAAAACAAATCCTACATCATGACAGGCGACTGTAACAACTAACACAATAACCTTTGCTAGGTGTTTAACACCGCACTCAGCAATATGCCAGCTGTATGACTGCAGCCAGACAATCCAGTGATTGATATTATGTGCAGCAACCAATGCTGTCAGGGAACACTGACATGCTGTTTGTTGGTTTGTTGTTTAACTTCGCTCTCAGCAGTATTCCAGCTATATGATGGCAGTCTGTTAATAATCGAGTCTGGACCAGTTAAACCAGGGATTGACATCATGAACATTGATCCACGCAATTGGGATCAATGACATGCATCAACAAAGTCTGCGAGCCTGACCACCCAATCCCATTAGTCACCTCTTATGACAAGCATAGTTGCCTTGATGGCAAGCATGGGTTGCTGAAGACCTATTCTAACATGGATCTTCACAGGTCCACTGACATGCATTCAAAGTCACAGAGTCTGAACTCCAATCCATTAAGTCCTATCTCACAAGTAGGACCCATTCTAACCTGAAGTCTCCACTGTGGGTTATCATCATAGTAACTCCAGTGGCATCTGCGAAAACCAGACTAAGTCGGATTCCTGTCCATACCAGACCACATTAACAGTCCTGAAAATAACATGATAGATAATATATCTTCCAACCCCATCTTTATTTCATATTTCATTATCATCTGTTAAAATCTCATTAATCTGGACCTCTGTCTAAACCGGACAGAACTTTCAGTCCCACAAAAGTCGACCACTGAAATTGATGTGGAATCAGAAATCCTCTGCCCTCCTTTATTCGTTTTATCCCTCTGATGCCAGGGTATTTAAAGCAACTGCCAATTTCTCCTAGCCAAATCTCGATGCTCCCATCAGAGGCCAGTACATCTGTCTGGTTCAAATCCCTGGAGAGCTATCGTAATGTTTACTTCACGACTAACTACCAGTTGATTATATTCTTCACATTCCTAGACTGGTTCTCCATCAACAAATACTTCCACTGTGGCCCAGCTTGATGCAAGCCTCACTCACAAACACAGTAATAAACTACACTTTACATGTACTTCCTCTGCAGGCTTCAATCAACACCTCACTACAACACATCAAGAAGAGATGAACGTTTCCCAGTTCCAAATTACACCCTGACCCCCAAACTGAATAATGAAATCACTTAATGGACCATCCAAAATAATCCAATGTGTGTCATGTCAAAACTCTTGTCAAAATATTGAAAGATATTGATCACAATGCTAGACCTCCAGATCCCAGGTCCCCCTTTTAAAGTCTAGCAATGCTTTTGGTAATCTTACTATTTATAAATTTCTGTTCATAAGACAACAGTCTCCCCTCCCCTACAAATCAAATATGGATAAACAGGCCAGATGATGACCATATCCCAACCCCCTCAATATGCTTGGGGGGGGGGGGGGGAGGAGGAGAGATGCTTGACCAACTCCCATCATCTGAGTATAAGCCACACCATTAAATCCCTGGATTTGAAGAAACATAAGACTGCATCACTAAACATGATTCATCTGTGTAGGCCAAAGTGCAAACTCAGCTCCATAATGAATTATGGATGAATTACCTGTAGATTTAACTATGCTGAATTGAATTTGGAACCGGACACGCTGCGTAAAGTTCAAAAGTAAAAACACAGTATGTTTTTTGTTGTTGTGAGAAATCCCTTGATCTAGCAGTGGTGCAATATCAAGCTAAGATACAGCAACAGGTACCATGTTTATAACACACAACCCCTTCATCTACCAGTGGTGCAATATCAACAAGCTAAGATACAGCAACAGGTACCATGTTTATAACACACAACCCCTTCATCTACCAGTGGTGCAATATCAAGCTAAGATACAGCAACAGGTACCATGTTTATAACACACAACCCCTTCATCTACCAGTGGTGCAATATCAAGCTAAGATACAGCAACAGGTACCATGTTTATAACACACCACCCCTACATCTACCAGTGGTGCAATATCAAGCTAAGATACAGCAACAGGTACCATGTTTATAACACACAACCCCTTCATCTACCAGTGGTGCAATATCAAGCTAAGATACAGCAACAGGTACCATGTTTATAACACACAACCCCTTCATCTACCAGTGGTGCAATATCAAGCTAAGATACAGCAACAGGTACCATGTTTATAACACACCACCCCTTCATCTACCAGTGGTGCAATATCAAGCTAAGATACAGCAACAGGTACCATGTTTATAACACACAACCCCTTCATCTACCAGTGGTGCAATATCAAGCTAAGATACAGCAACAGGTACCATGTTTATAACACACAACCCCTTCATCTACCAGTGGTGCAATATCAAGCTAAGATACAGCAACAGGTACCATGTTTATAACACACAACCCCTTCATCTACCAGTGGTGCAATATCAAGCTAAGATACAGCAACAGGTACCATGTTTATAACACACAACCCCTTCATCTACCAGTGGTGCAATATCAAGCTAAGATACAGCAACAGGTACCATGTTTATAACACACAACCCCTTCATCTACCAGTGGTGCAATATCAAGCTAAGATACAGCAACAGGTACCATGTTTATAACACACAACCCCTTCATCTACCAGTGGTGCAATATCAAGCTAAGATACAGCAACAGGTACCATGTTTATAACACACAACCCCTTCATCTACCAGTGGTGCAATATCAAGCTAAGATACAGCAACAGGTACCATGTTTATAACAGAGATAACACCAGACCAAGAGACCAAGCAAACCAAAAGTTGAGAAAGTCAAGTGACCATGGGTCATGATGCCCCAAGCTTATTCCCTCACATTCATTAGGAATGTCGCAACATCCTGACCGGTCAACAAGCCGTAAGGCAGGAAAACACACCTAGCTTATACTCCGACCTTAGGTTAAAGAAACAAACAACAAGCAAAAAAACATGCTGTATTTAGAAAGAGAAATAAGAGATGGATGTGGTGTGGTTTCAACACAGTGACAGTAGTATGCAACATTAGTAGACAGCCAGTCAAGGTCTATGTCAATCCTGGTGGCTGGACGATACACCTATGCATCAGTGGATTGCGATTGTTTACATCTAGAGGCAAGTGTCGATCACAGCCACACAAAGTAAAAAATGTTGATTCTTACCTTAAAATTTGCTTTAATACCTGTTACAACAATATCTAATTAGAGGTGAAAATAAGTAGTGAAAATTTAAATATTTCATCCATTCTGCCACACTTGACACTGCCAACTGTAAATTGTCAGTGTGCCAGGTATTTGGCCATCCTGTCTATGAAAAAGATGGCTTATGAACCACAGATAACAGCACATGCAAGTACCATAAGCATTGGCTCGTGAGCAAGGTATTGTGATACACATCGGATCGCACAGTTGGTGTGTCATCCCAGCCCTAGTAAATCCAGATCGGTCGATCAGTGTCTATGATTAAGTGAGATGTGTCGGACCAATTGTTTCAGGATGTCTGTTGGTCTGCATTCAGAGTAATTAATTCTTCTGGGACAGATTAAATCATCTTGATATTAAAAGTACCTAACTTTCCAATTCAAAATAGAAGGGGTTAGCATGTTTGTGTGTATTTGTTAACTACCTCGCCAACTTCATACTTTACTGTGGACATGATAGAGACTGCATTTTGGGCAATCATTCACCTTATAAATTTTGCTTAAAATGATTTAAAAGAATTTAATTTAATTTGATATTTGGCATATGGATTAAACATTAATCTATAACAAAACATGATAATAGTGTGCTAATTTTAATTTCACAAATGGATTAAACATGCACATTTAGACATGTCCTTCAATTTCTTACATGAAACAATATTCCACTGATTATATCATACAGGATCACACAGTGATGTTACTTGGCACTGACGTCATAGGTTAAACA